GGGCCTGAGTTTCCGAACCTCAGTTTCTATGTCTGAAGGTCGACATGAAAGGATAAAACGAAACAGCCCCCCCCCCAAAAAACACACCAAAAAACAAAACTACCTTTTCACAATGAGAATTTACAAAAACGGTGCTGGATGCAGACAGGGCCTGTCATTTCTTGTCATGACCTTGTCCAGGGACACACAGAAACTGTGACACTCTGGGTCCTAGTACCACTCCATCGGGAAGTTGAGCCGGCCTGATGAGATGGTGTGCTCCCAGTACCCTCACTCTCCAGACAGCCAACCTGGTACCAGGTGCAACCCCCCACCCCCTCCCCCACCCCCGTGTGCATGTGTGTGCGTGTGTCCAACACTGGACCTGCTTCTGTCGAGCATGGCACCTGCTACTGAAGTCACTTTAAAAACCGAAATAACAACCCGCTATCGACGAGTTGGTTCGAGTTGGTTTGGACTCATCCTGGCCCTACTGATAACCCAAAAAATGAACTGCCTGCCACTGAGTCAATTCTCCTCGTAGGACAGGGTAGAACTGGCCCCGGGGGTGTCTGAGACTGTAACTTTATGGGAGTAGAACGCCGTCTTTCTCCTGCGGAGCAGCTGTTGGTTTCCCACTGCTGGTATTAGGGTCGCACCACACCTCCAGGGCTCCTGGACCCTCTCTGCAGGACGGGCAGAATGGCGTCGTGTGGAGTGTCCAAGGGAGTGGTCTTGACGGATGGACGCAGCCTGCCTCATCTTCCTCTGGAGGAGTGGCTAGTGGATTTTAACCATCGTTTTTTTCCACTTGACTCCTGGGCCGCCAAGGGTGCTTGTCCCTTAGTGGAGAAGGCTTCCTTTAGGACGGGCCTCTGCCATCTGGCAGGGCGGCGGGAGCCATTCCAATTCTGCAGGAAGTGGGAAACCCTGAGCGGAAGCACACCTCCTAGGTCCTCGGGCCTGGCACCCATCACTGCCTCTGACGCAGGGTCAGATGTGCCATCTGCCTCCCCTGCCCCTGCCTGTTTGGGCAAGAGGGAACTGTCTGCCACTGGGGTGGGGGGAGGGGTGCCAGCTGTTTCTTGCCTCCACAACATCCAGGGTCAGGGAATACAAGGAGGAGGAGGGGAAGGTGGGAAGAGAGGGGGGAGGGAGGAGGAGAACTCACGGGATGGGCCTGGAGGCACCGCCCTTCTTAAGCCTTGCGGTGGACTAAGGGGCTCACCACAGCTGGTCACCACTGTGTGTGCCGTTTGTTGGAACCATGGGAGAATCCAGTCTGCGCTTGGTGTCCAAGGCTCCCAGGTGCTTCACTGAGCTGCTACCTGTTGCATTTCAACTAGGGCAGGAGACTTTTCCCCCAAGATGCTCTCTGACTCAGTCCTCACGGCGAGAACCAGACAGGGAAAGTCAGGAGAGGTCAGGTAGCACAGGGACATTTCATTCCAACGTAGGGCCTGCAAAGACGGAGGCGGCCACTTTGCTCACCACTGGAGCGGCAGTTCGAATCCACGGCTCGCTCTGGCGTGTGGCAGTCTGCTTCTGTGACGACGGCGGCGGCCAAGGTAGCCCTCTGAGCAGTTTTAACTTATCCTATAGGGCCACTCTAAAGGGGCCTTGGTGTCGTAGGGGGTTATGCGTTGGGCTGCTGGCTATAAAGTCAGCAGTTTGAAACCACCAGCTGCTCTGAGAGAGAAAGATGAGGTTCTCTTTTCCCATAAAGAGCTGCAGTCTCGGCAACCCACAGGGGCAGTTCTACCTGGTCCCGCAGGGTGGCTCTGAGTCAGCATCCACTCAAAGGCAGTGAGACAGGACCTAATGAATCGGAACTGACCCAATGGCAATCGGGAAAGCATGTTCTGTGTCTACCAACCCAGGGCGGTCACAAGAGATGGAATGGCAGGGAGGCAGGAAGTGTGAGAACAGGAGCAGAGGGAGGGGCAATGTGAGGCAGGGAGCCAAGGCAGGCGGTCAAGGAAAGGAAACATTCTCCTTAAAGCCGCTCAAAGGGGACACAGGGCACTCGGAGGAATGCACAAATGAGAGCCGGCCCCTGCCCCGAAGGAGCTGCTCTTGATGTGTTCTAAGGGGGTGAGGGGGGCAGGAGCATTTATAGCCTGAAACAGTGGTTCTCAACCTTGATGGCCCTTGAAATCACCTTGGGGTGGCGTGGGGATAGCGCTAAAGCCTCCCGAGCTGCTGCAGCCCAAACCAAGCGTATCCGAATCGCTGGCACGGGAAGCCAGGTGCAAGTTGTTCTGAACGCTTCTGCGGCGACTCCAACGTGCAATCAAATTCGAAAGCCATTTGTTAAAACCGAGACGAAGACCTTCTTATTCAATGGCTCCTTGACGATGCCACTCACCTGGCACTCGTGCCCACCTCCTCCGATCTGGCACTTGGGTTATCGCGCTGCCCTCTCTCCGGGCACAGCCTGCCCTTCCACCCACTTCCTACCCAAATTCCTCAAAGCTACGGCCATTCCAAAGTTAGTGTGGCTGTGACTAGCATAG